TTGGCTAGGCTGGTCTTGAACTCTTGGCCTCAAGTGATCTGCCTGTGTCAGCCGCCCAAAATGCTGGGATTACAGGCATGAGCCACTGCACACAGAACTTTCTGTGATGATGGAAATGTCCTATTCTGCATGGTCCAGTATGGTAGTCACAGCCACATGTGACTCTTGAGCAGTTGAAATGTGGCTTATGTGACTGAGGCGCTGATCTTTAATTTTTATTTATTTTCAATTAATTTAAATATGCTTAGTGGCATGTGAGGCTAGTGGCTATCATTAGATAGCACAGCTCTAGAAATTCACAGTCAAATGATGGAAAGAAACACAGGTACTCAAAATTGAGAGTGTGATATATCCTCCAATACAGGTCCATATAAAATGCTCTAGAAGCTCAAGAGATGCTTAGGGTGGTGGAAGTGACAAGAAAAATACCCAGAGGAGAGGAGACAGCATGGAAGTGAGACTTTAAAAACAAAATAATAATAAATTAGAAAGGGAGGAGAGGGAGCAGACGAGGTTCATTCCAGGCAGATGTACAGAATCCTTGAGGTATTAGGAACATGTATGCAAGTTCCGGAAAAGCCATGTGGCTTGGTAGGGTCAATTGTAGAGTGGTTATTATAATAATGTTATATATAATATAATGACAAAAATGGCTTTTATGGTAAAGGGTAAAGATTATAAACAAATTTAACACAGCGTTTATTTTACGGTATACATTGTTAGAAGAACTGCCATATTTGTTATTTGCAATAGATACATAGATTGTCATTAGAATCCTCATTTCACAGAGAGAAAATTGAGGCCTAGAAAGTTAAAGAAATTTGCCAGGGAACACACAAGGATTGGAGAGAGTTGAGATTTGAATCCAGGCCCGTTTGACTTAGAGATCAATCTCTTCACAATATGTCTTTCAATTTAAATTTTTCTCAGTTTGGAATTGTGATGAATTTTCCTTGGTGTGTCTTCCATGATTCATTTGTGGCCACTAGACATCTTCTATTAGTTTTTTGTCTCCAATTTCATGTTTAAAATATTTTCTGGCTAAGAGATAGGTATTATAAGATGAGTCTCTCCCATTAACAAAGAATTTCGTAAACTCAGATTTTGGAAATTACTAGCGATGTCTCTTTTTTTCTGTATAGTTATGGCACTAGGAGTATTTTATATCCTAAAATGGGGTAGTTAGGGAATTTAACAGTTAAATTGGAGAACCCAGTCCATTCATTCCCAAATTTGAATGGGCTCCTGTGACCATCAGGCCCAGAGAACCCTTGCTTCCACGCGGTGAGGAATGGCTTGTTATTCGAGCCTCTCCACATCTTAACCTAAAGATCATGACCCTGAACTCTGACTTCTTTTTTTATCTTTACTCATCCTAAGAGCGAATCTAGTGACTGGGGCACAGGGAGGATTTGCTTTTCTTAATGAAGAGGAACTGGATATCTACATCTGTCCAGCAGGCATGGTCAAGTCCTGAAAATGTCCCTTTCAGCTGGAAATGTCCCTTGTGCTTTTTGAGGACTTTTTGTTTTGTTTTTTTCTTTTCAGATGCAAAAGAACTCATTTAATGTTATTCGCTGAGTTTCCATAAAAATCCATGACAAAGTTATAGTAAGATTAATCTAACATTTATACCTGCCAGGCCTTGAGCATATGAAGGAGTATAATCAACAGCACCTGCTTCAAGGAGCGTCCTTCACTGCTAATGCAGGACGAGAGGACAGAAGGGGGCAAGCACTCCTGGAGGTCTTACAGGGAGGGCAGGACTTACCTGAGGAGAGAAAGGTCAGTCTATACATGGAACACAGGTGTGCGCAAAGGCACAGGGTAGAGGGAACGAATAGAATGGTTTGGCTGAAGTAGAAAATGCAACTTTGGCTGCCCGTAAAAATCACCTGCAGAGCCTTAACAACGCCTCTCTATTACTAAAAAGTCAAAAAACAAGTTAAAAGTGGAAATTATTTTGTGTAAAAATCACCAACACATACACATAAATGAAAAAACAACAGAAAAATGCAACAGCACCCCAATCATTCTGGTTTTTTTTTTTTTTTATGAGACAGAGTCTCAATTTGTTCGCCCAGGCTGGAGTGCAGTGGCATGATTTGGGCTCACTGCAACCTCCACCTCATGGGTTCAAGCAGTTCTCCTGCCTTAGCCTCCTAAGTAGCTGGGACTACAGAAACATGCCACCATGCCCGGCTAACTTTTTTATTTTTAGTAGAGATGGGGTTTCGCTGTGTTTGCCTGATTGGTCTCAAACTTCTGACCTCAAGTGATCTACCCTTCTTGGCCTCCCAAAGTGCTGAGATTATAGGCATGAACCATCATTCTGCTTTAGTTGATCTAAGGTATAGCTTGAGCTTCAGGATTTGGGAATTTTATACATGATTATAATCATGTATAAAAAATGGTCCTCCCTAGCCAATGGGGGACCATTGCTAGAGTCTCTTTACATAGAATGTGGTTCTGGGACCAGCAAAGCTGCCCAACCTGGAAGCTTATTAGAAATGCAGAATGTCAGGCCCTATTCCCAGACCTAGGGAGGCAGAATTTGCATTTTCACAAGATCCCAGGTAACCCCTATGCACATTAAAGTTAGAGAAGCATTGCTATAGAGAAAAGATGAGAAATAGGGTTGCAGAGGGCCTGATAACCTAATCAGGTTTCCCAGCCCTTATGTTGGGCTGGGCATGAATTACAGGTGTGCAGTGATAATAGTGTTCCCTCAAGCCATTAGGAATGCTTGTACTTCTTGTCGGCAAGAAGTCTCCTCTGGTTATCTCTGTGTGCTCCTCGGATATTGCAAGTTCTTTGGGTGCCTTGAGGGAAAAGGGGCAGGGGAGCACCAACAACAGAGCACCTGTCAGGAGTAGAGATCTCATGAAGATTTTTGATGGATGTTATGTGTGTCATGTGTGATGAAAGAAGACCTTCTTGACAGAGATATCCAGAATGGACTGTGTTGGGGGTGATCTGGGGCCTGGGAGACATGTTAGGAGAAAGTTGCAATAATTCACACATAAGGTGAGAGAAGCCACAACTAAGGAGCATGATTATGCTTAAGAATTGGGATAGCAGTTATATACCATTTCCAAGTCTTCAGGGTAAAGCTTGGAAGGCATTTCAACAGATTCCCTTATGCCTTTCGGAAGACACCTTTTAACTTGTGGTTTTGTTTTGGTTTATGCTTGTGTGGCATTATCTCCAAGGGTCGGGAGAGTTGTGATGATTAAAATCTACTTGGCATAAATAAGGTTGTAAACATTCAGCCCTCACTCTGCATGACCCCCTAGTTCTTGGTGGGTGGGATCATCTGACTCGAGGGTTGTTAGTGGATTTCAAAGGAGAAAGGAAAACAATGATGGCCATCATTTTGTGACTGGGCAGCAAGGAGGAGTTTCAGGAAATGGAGAGGTTAAAAGTCCAAGTATGAAAGGCTTGCTTTTGTGGGCTCAGGACCATACTCCAGTAGAGACAGCTCTCACAAGGGAACCCACACATTACAGGAGACTCTTTTATTTGAAAAAATGTTGAAATTATTGGCATGTTAAATTGATTTATTCTTTGGGGCCAAGGTAGAATTGTACCTCTTCTGGGAATCCTTCCCTGGTTACCCTAGTTCACTGTACATCTGCATTCACTCTCACTCTCAGGCTCTATCTCATGTTCTCCTTTTCTCTCTTTCTCTCTCTCACTTCCTAAAATTATCTTTAATAGTTCAAAAAGTATTTTTTAGTTCTGATATTTGAAAAGTAATTTTGGTATCTACCTATTTTCTAATAACTCGCTTAGTTTATTTCATTTTTCTGATTCATGATTATATCCCATCTCCCAAAATACATGGTAAGCACCTTGAGGATGTGGACCATGTCTTATTATTCTTTGTCTTCTCGGGGCTTTGTCTTATGCTAAGTATGTACAAATAATGATGATGTTCTAAGACAAGTCATTTCCTTAGGGAATTTGTGACTATATAAAATTTTCAAGGGTGTTCCTGACTGAATATAACCAATTAAATACATTTGTGTTTTTCAAGTTTGTTGATATTTCCAATGAAAAAAAAAGAGGCTGAGGCAGGAGGATGGTTTGAGCCCAGGAGTTTGAGACCAGCTTAGACAATATAGTGAGACCTCATCTCTATGCAAAATGTAAAAATTAGCCAGATGTGGTGACACATGCCTGTAGTCCCAGCTACTTGGGAGGCTGAGGTGGAGGGATCACTGGAGTCTGGGAGGTTGAGGCTGCAGTGAGCTGTGATCATGCCATTGTACCCCACCTGAGTAAGACCCTGTCTCCAGGGAGGGGTTGTGAGGGAATGGAGAGTGTGAGAAGGAAAGGCTAAAGAATCTTTGAAAGCCCAGCATGGTGGCTTACACCTATAATCTCAGCACTTTGGGAGGCCAATATGGGCGGATCACTTAAGGTCAGGAGTTCGAAACCAGCCTGGCAAACATGGTGAAACCCCATCTCTACTAAAAATACAAAAATTAGCTGGGCGTGATGGGAGGCGCCTGTAATCTCAGCTTCTCGGGAGGCTGAGGCACAAGAATCTCTTGAACCCCGGAGGCAGAGATTGCAGTGAACTGAGATCATGCCACTGCACTCCAGCCTGGGCAATAGAGCAAGACTCATTCTCGAAAAAAAAAAAAAAAAATTACAGAAAAATATTTAGTGTTCACTTTAAACTACATGGTTTAAAATTAAGCCAAAAATACCATCAGAAAATATTCGGATCTTTTTGTGCTTTCAATGACTCATTTTAAAACAAAATTTTAAACAATTTCATATATATATATAAAATCTTAGTAAATATCCCGTTTTCCTAACCTTTTTCTATGGTACTCATTTTCCTTAGTTGCTTTTCTCCTCCTACCATTTGGGTTTCTTCTTTCCTTCTTTCCTTTCTTTCTTTCTTTCTTCTCTTTTCTCTTTTCTTTTCTTTTCTTTTCTTTTCTTTTCTTTTCTTTTTCTTTTTCTTTTTCTTTCCCCTGTTTAGAAGTGATACCATTTGTCTGAGGAAGGTAACCCCTGGCTGTGTTTGTCATCAAGAGTGTCACTCACCGTCTGGATGTGACCCACTAAGATGTTTAAATCCTTAGATTGTATTTTTGTGGGCAGTGTATTGAACTTATATGCTTTAACAATTTCACTTGGTTTCAAATCATGACATGCTATTTTCATACCCTTTCTTGGAATTCTGAAAATGATATTTGCCAAATTCAAGTATTTTGAAACTTGAGACTACTGAACATTGTCATCGTCACCCAAATTTTGAAGGGGAACTTATTTTAATTGTAGTCTGCTATGATATTAGACATTATGATAAAAGGAATGTATATTACATATCGAATACCAGCTAGAGCTTGACCAGAAGGAATGAAACTACTTTACTGAAATTAAATCGACACTTAAAAAAAAATTTTAAACCTGGGGAAAACCGTTTTAAAGAATTACTTAATGCATCAATCAGTAGTTTATATCCTTAAAGAATTATTTATGGTATAATAATGAACATTTATAACAGAACAGAATTTCCTAACATTAGCTTCTCTGCCTACGGAGGTCATAAAAATTGTTAATGCAGATGAGGTTGCCTTCTGTTGTGTGATGCTAATAGGAAATGGATCATTGCGGTTTATGGGGTACTTAGCCATTTTGGTTCATGATAAATGGCTGACTTCAAGTGACATTCCTTCATGGATTTCCCACTATTCATCACCTGAAAGAATGGAATGCAAACATGAAGTTGATTTTGAAGTTGTCAGGAGTTTCACTGTGGTGTAAATCCATCATAAGCCAATGTTTTCGTTGATTTAGGAAGAAATTGTACGAATGGAAACACATTTAATGTTTTATGCTTCTGTTTCTTTTGCTCCAAAGTCAGTTTTGTGATTCTCTTATCCTGCTCTAACTTCTGTTACCTCTTCCCTTTCCCATCCCCCTCTCCAAACATTCTCTTTTGAAAACTCCCTAGATTTTTATCTTTGCAGGGATGCTTTGATGTAATTACATTGTTTTGATCTATTAAATCAACCCAACATAAGCTGAAAGAATAGAACATATTTTCAACTAGTCTGTCCATCTAGGTGGCAGGTATTATACTAGGATGGAGAACCTCTTCCACTGCTGTGTTCTTGCTGTTATTCTATTTTCTTTCCTTTTTCATCATCTTTTCTTGAAATGCTACCTCCTTACCCCTCCTGCCCCAAGAGTGCACACATACCATGTCTGCGTTAGGGGTGTTGGGGAGAGGGAAGCTGCCTATTTTTAACAAGGTCACATTATCTAGGATCTTGCTTTTAGAAAATTATTCCCCAGCTTACTTTCAGGGAGGCACCGAAAGACTTACTCAAGATCTAGTCATGCCTCACATGTGCCTAAAGGAAGTTTGAGTCTTTCCTGTGTTTGATGTCTGGAATGTTTATCTCTGAGGTAGAGCCTGTGTTTAATTCACTAGCATGATGCTTTCTGTGCTACTGGCATTTGAGAGTGTTTGATATCTGGCAGGATGCTATTCAGAAGAGAATGTAAATATTCGTGCAGGTTGTCTTAGAAGCATTAAGTGTAACTGAGATAATTTGCCATTTATTTCATGGCTTCTTAAAGGGATTTTGAGATACTTTATCTATGTGCATTGTTAGAGTGAAGCTGACAACAGGTTTTTTGTTTTTATTTTTATTTTTTGCTTTGTAGAACTTAACAGGAGGAAGCCATCTTTGACTTTCCTTGAGGTGCTGGTATCTTGGAAGGGAAGTTACCAAACCCTTCATCCCAGAGGCTGTCTTTTGACACAGAACATTTTAGTTCCTACCAGATTTCTCTGAGAGGCTTTCATGGAGCCTAGTTATCCCTTTTAGCAAATAGTATTCATGAATACCCTGCTCACAAAGAAATTTAGGTAAATAAATGGAAAGCATTTGAGATATCTGGACTCTTTTTGTTTTAGAACTCCAGATATTGGGGAAATTTGGGGAGAGAGCCTGGAAGTGGTAGAATTGAAATATTAGGTTTCTTATGACCGTCTTTCCTATTGAAACTCTAGAAATAGCTAATGGGACATAATTTAATTACATGGTCTAGATAAATCCTATCAGTCTCTTATAGCTGGTTATGACATTTGATGAGATAAAACAAACCAACTTTTTCTTCAGATTTATTGAATGAGAATCACTAATCTTGAATACTTATTCAGCTCAGCTCAAACCAATTATCAAACTTTAAAAATGGCCAATTCTGGCCGGGCGCGGTGGCTCACGCCTATAATCCCAGCACTTTGGGAGGCCAAGGCGGGTGGATCATGAGGTCAAGAGATCGAGACCATCCTGGTCAACAACGTGAAACCCCGTCTCTACTAAAAATACAAAAATTAGCTGGGCATGGTGCTCAGCGCCTGTAGTCCCAGCTACTCGGGAGGCTGAGGCAGGAGAATTGCTTGAACCTGGGAGGCAGAGGTTGCAATGAGCCGAGATCATGCCATTGCACTCCAGTCTGGGTAACAAGAGTGAAACTCCGTCTCAAAAAAAAAAAAAAAAGGCCAATTCTAATATGGTACAGGCAATTGAAGCATATTTATAACTTAATTTCTGGCCATTGGTGGCAACAAGGCTGGGACTGGAAGGAGGTTGCTTAAGGGAGGAACAATGGACTAAGGGAGAAAAAGGAGGAAACTCAGGAAGAGAGGCAGAGAACATAGATACCCTAGTAGACACAGACTTTTGACAGCATTTACCACATTTTAACTATGGTATGTTGAAATGAATATTGATAGCTTTTTACTTTCTGCCTTTCATTTTTGTTTCTTCTTCTCCTATCCCCGCATGTATGGTTATAAACATATTTATAAGGAAAAGCCAACTAAGATCCAAGATATGCAACTTTTTCTGGGATGGGGGTTGGAAGATTGAAAGAAAGACACCTTGTTACCCAAAGAGTAAGTAGTAGTATGCTTTTTCTGAGGAGGTGGGGGGTTCCATGTTCAGAGGATTTTAATTACTACTATCAAAAGATAAAATTACAACAAATTTAGTTTTATGTCTAATTGGGTATTATTTGCAATGCTTGAAAGAGGACAGCCTCCATTCTGCAAAATAGAATGAGAGCTCCCACTGGGCAATGGCAGAATAGTGGGTTTTGTAAGGTGGAAGAAGACAACAGTACAATAAAGAGTAAAAGCTGATTGGTTAATATCAGATTATTCAGGTTACTGTTTTGTAAGGGTTAAAGCAGAAGGACTTCCTTACTGTACTGCCTCAGGGTAAACTGAGATCTGTCTGCATCCTTAAAGCTTCAGTTTGATGATGTAACATTTAACATGAGTGACTTCATTTTGGTTTGATCTGGTCTGTCTGTTGGAGCCTTGTGCAGGAGCTCAAACAGTGGCCTTCCAGAATGTTTGTTTGTTTATTTTGAGATGGAGTCTCACTCTTGTCACCCAGGCTGGAGTTTAGTGGTGCAGTCTCAACTCATTGCAACCTCCGCCTCCTTGGTTCAAGTGATTCTCCTGCCTCAGCCTTCCGAGTAGCTGAGATTACAGACACACACTACCACATCTGGCTAATTTTTGTATTTTTAGTAGAGACAGGGTTTCACTATGTTGGGTAGGCTGGTCTCGAACTCCTGACCTCAGGAGATCTGCCCACTTTGGCCTTCCAAAATGCTGGGATTACAGGTGTGAGCCACCATGCCCAGCCCCAGTTTATTTAACATTACTTTCGCTCTACATTGGCAAGCCTTTTGAATGCAGTGTGTTCTTGAAGTCTAGGTCTTCACATGGATACATTTAAGGTGAACTTGAAGTTTTTAAGCACTATATTCTCACCCCCGGGTGCAGTTACTGTCATCTGTTAGAGTTGCACAGAAATCACCAGATAATCTCTTAGAATTAAACTAAAAGAAGAGGGGGAAAAAGTTTCCAAATGGAAAAATTATTGTTCTTTTTTTTTTTTTTTTAGTTCTGAAATATATTGGAAATAAATTTTTGGGAGAACTAAGCTATTAAGCATAAACATAACATTTTCCCAGAGACTTTATAATTGATTTTGAAATTCTCACTAAAGAATTGGTTAGCTCTTAATGGTTTTTTTCTCTTTACTTACTGATTCAAAGATGTAATGTTAGTTTGACCCTATAGGCTGTTACTTTGCTTCTTTGCACTTCAAAAAGATTTAAGGTCACTCACTGATTATGACTTTGCCACTTCCTGCCCTATTGTTCTCACAAAGGGATTTCTTGAGTAACCTTACTGTAAAGAAGAAGTCAGCCCAATGAAAAATTCTTGATATTTGCGTGTCTATTAAATTTAACACATTTGCTTTTCCATTTGAACCTTCAATTGAATAATTTTTAACTGTATAATTTATAAGGTTATATTTATTGGGACTTGAGAGTTCCTCTTATGAGAGTTGAAATGCCTTTTGTTTACTTCCTTTACATGATGGATCATGCAGTAGAGTAAGAGGGTCAATCAGAAGCTGACACTGTATTGGGGAACAGCCAGGTCAATAGATATTCACATTTCTATGAAATGTTGATCTATAACAAAATAGCAAAAAGCACTAATGTGTTTTTGACACCTTTTAGTCAGTTGCCTCCCAACAGAATTTACTCTTCTTTTGATGTAGTAGTACTGATAAACCTTTCCTGCAGTTGTCATGCCTCTTCTTAGATATCATCTGGGAGTGACCGTTGTGTTAGGCTTAAACTATCAGAGCATTGCATCTGGTTGTGAATCAGTAGAGTACTGCCATTGACTCACTTTCAAATCTTTATTAGGTAAGCCCATATTATTATTATTTTTCTGGTTATGGTCATTCTCTGGTACAAGTAATTGTCAGTCATACAGTCTTTGGTAGGGGAATACTTGAACAAAGTTTGCAAGAGCATCGAGCAAACAAAGATAATATTACAGTTTTTGGTGTCATGATTACTACTTCACATCATTCCGTGGTTTTTCAGCACTTCACTATGTGAGGCACAACAGCCTACAGAGGACATTTAAGACATAGCCTCCACCTCTCTCAAGTGTATGTTTCTAATATTTTTCACTTGGATTATTTTAAAAAAAGTATGAGCTCTCCCTGGAACCCCATATTTATACATAAAACTGCCCACTCTATATCTCCATTTGGATATAAATAGGCATCTGACATATAAGATGTACCAAATGGGAAGAAGCGGCAGATTGGGAACCTATTCTGGAGATAGGCTTACTAGCAGATTGAATGGAGGATCTTTTTAGAGAAAGAAAAAATTAAAAATAACTCCTAGGTTTTTATAACCTGAGCAGCTCATTATTGTCAGTAACTGAGAGGAGAAGGGGAATGGGAATGGAAAATGCTCATTCCCACCTAGGGGCTGTTATCTTGGCTGATCTTTGTCCTGGAGTGCTCTTTCCCCAGATCTTCACGTGGCTGACTTCTTCCTGTTGTTCAAGTCTTCCCTAAAATGTCAGCTCCTCAGAGAGGCCTTTCCTGAACATCTCATCTAAATTATATCCCTCCCTCCTATGTTAATCTTTATCCCATTACCTTACTTTATTTTATTCCTTGCAAAGATCACTATGTAAAGTTCTTATTGATTTAGGTACTGTTTGATTCCCTTACATAACCATTCTATCTACCTCATACTTTCTTTTCTCATTTCACCCCCCTTTCAGTTATTGACAATACCTAGCTGCTCTTTTTATTTTTTCTTTCTCTAAACAGATCCTCCATTCAATCTGCTAGTAAGCCTATCTCCAGAAGAGGTTCCCAGTCTGATGGCTTCTTCCCATGTTCATATTCTCATTGTAGTTCCAGCCATCATTACCTGTTACTTGACCGACTACAGTGGCCTTCTTTCCCCTACAGTCTATTCTCCATGCAAAACCAGAACGATTCTTTTAAAGCAGAGGTCAGATCATCTCCAGCTGAAAACCCTATGCAACTTCCCATCACTCTTGGAACAAAATCTAAATTCCTTGCCCTATAAGGCCCTGCTGGTCTGGTATCTGGCTAGCTCTACTGTCTTATCTCCTATCACTTTCCTTTCACTTACTGGCCTTCTGACTATTCCCCAAGCCTGCCCAGCTCATTCCCACCTAGGGGCTGTTATCTTGGCTGATCTTATCCTGGAGTGCTCTTTCCCCAGATCTTCACATGGCTGACTTCTTCCTGTTGTTCAAGTCTTCTTTAAAATGTCACTCCTCAGAGAGGCCTTCCGCGAACATCTCATCTAAATTATATTCCTCCCTCCTGTGTTAATTTTTATCCCATTACCTTATTTTATTTTATTCCTAGCAAACATCGCTATCTAAAGTTCTCATTGATTTAGGTACCTGTTTATTGTAATTTGCCATCCCCACTAGAATTTTGCACCATGAGGATGGGGACCTTGTCTGTCTTGTTCCCTGAGGTATCCCCAGTGCTTGTCATATTGCCCAGTAGGTACAGTAGGTATTCAATACATGTTTAGGTTGAATTAGTGAATGAGAATATTGAGGCCCATGAGGAATATAAACTGCCGAATCACGAAAGGTAAGTATAGATTATATTTTAGTGGGAATATTCCTGCCAATTTTTCATGATAATTAAGTGGTCTATAGGCAAGGGAATGAAACTTCTCTTCTGGTTATTCAATCACTTTGTGACAAGGAAAAAGAGACTAGCAATCATAGTCAGTTGGCTTTTTCTCTTGTAATATCTGTGTATATAAACTGGTCATCATTTACCAGTTCTGCATATCTTTTCTTTGGAACTACTTGTGAATGTTGTATCCTTGAACAACAGTACGAAGTGTACTCCTTACAGATAAGAGTCTGAAATCGTGGTAAGTAGTCATTACAGTGAGAACAGCTTGCACTGAACAGGCAGTAGCCATGTATACATCTCTCTTAAGAAAGAAAATATCAAATTGCCCGCTCAGTGTGGTAAACAACAGTTCATTTAACTGCAGAGTTTCTGAATACATAATGATTTTCCAGGAATTGATGAACATGTAGATAATGAAAACCAACTATTTATTTTGTGACTAAATCTTTGCAAATCAACTATAATAAATTGTGTATATGTCTATGATTAAGGCAGAAGGGAGACGAAAACAGAAAGATCTTTTTCTTTCCCTTGCTGCTGTTTGCTAACATCAGTAGTTAGGGCACAGACTCACCAAAATTAAAAGATGATGATACATTTTGTCTTTTTTATTTCTGAGACCACTCCAGGAATCTTCTTAGACTCTACTTTCCATTTTTTCATGTGTTACTTTCTGTCATGTGATTGATAATGTTTTTCTCTCTATATTCTTAGTAAAAGTAGCAGATTTCAAAGTTAATAACTTTTCCCACTGACAATCTTCATGAATTTTCTGGTTCCAACTGTCCCTTGTTCCACTGCATGGAAGCAATTTTCCCTTAGGAGTTTTGAGCACCTTTCCTTCCCCTGTTCCAATGGCAAATCCCCAAATCTGAGTTCTGCTACATTCTTTCACAATAAAAGCTTTAGTTATATACAGCAGTTACCATTGATTCTCCATCAGTTCCCCTGATAGGAACTAACCAGGAATCTAGAGTTGGTAGATTTGGGGCTGACCAACTCAGGTCTGGCAGAATTAAGGTTCATCATTTCTCTCTTATTTGAATATGACTTTCTTCTTAATTGGGATCTGATTTTTCTCCCAGATGATATCCTGTTTTTAAATTAGAGGGGTGGTCCTAACACTGAGATTTTGATCAGCAATACAGAATAAGTAAAAAGAATAAGAGTTTAAAACTTTCGTTCTCATTGGATTATGGATAGATTGATTGCGAATTGGCATCTTGAAGATGTCTAAACATCACTGGTTCAGAAATGGTGATTACCGTGTTAAGGATATCTTCCTTTTACCCGTTTTGGTCACGTTTTCACCCTCCTCTACCCTAAGTCTCCCTACCCAGAGGCTGCCTGTGAGGACCACAAA